GACTGACTGACTGACTGACTGACTGACTGACTGACTGACTAACTGACTGACTGACTGACTGAATAGCAGTTCTGCCCCGAATGCTGTTCAGCACATACTGATGTGTAATAAAAAATGTTCACAATTACTGGACCAGAGCAAATTTTTGATTCAGAAAGTCATTCATATCTTGCCTACTTACTGTCTGTGAATCTCCGAGCGATCTCCGGGTTGAAGCGGCATTGGCAAGTAGATTGCGGGAAAAAGACAAATGCTAAGCATTAGCGACAAGCCTTCTCGCTCGAGTGGTGAAAATAATTTTTCGGCGAGATATTCTCAAACCTACCATAAATTTCTTCAGTGGTACATGTATAGATCAGCTATGGTAGACGTCCTTTATCATTTCCGAAACGGTTAAGGAGATACAGTTACGTCAATGTACCGAGGGTGGTAATAGCGCTTGACTGTGAATCGATAACAGGCTACCTACTTTTTAAAACGCTGATAATTTCAAGACGCTGTTACGTTTAGGCAAATCTCTGTTTCATTTCAGATGTGAATTTTTTGCTCAGATGGGCTGTTGTAAGCCCGATTAAGCAGATATTGAATAATCAACGGGGTGGGATGGTATATTCATATATCATGGACATAAATATACATCATATGAAGTGGATATTTAACTCACAATATAAAGATTTTTGAGTCCAGATTTCACTGCTTTCTCATGAGCTCCATGAGACTCGTTCGAATAATTCAACGGTTTTTTCAACAGATATTTTATGTTCAGAAAAATCAGTCATGAAATGAATCTTATGCTGATTTTAGATATCCATCGTTTACATTATTTGCCATCTCCAGAGCAGGTTTGAAACTCCACTTTGATCTATTACGTTTCCAAATATCCTCAAGTTTGTTTAACTACAATGATTGTTTAATGCTAATTAATGTGACATAACTCACGTATCTGGTTGTACTTTGTAAATGCAACAGTTTAGATTGCTTATTTATCACCATCATGTGATTTGTTCATGAGATGGGACATAAAATCCTGATCGACTTCCTCTCTGTATTCACGCTGGATTCATTATCTGTGGACTCACTATTCTCTCATTGCTACTAAAGTCACCTGTCCCAGATCCACGTGGCCTCAACACCGGCAAGCGGTTAGCAACCACAACCGGTGACCACCAATAACAATGCTCGAACGAGGACAAATCTTCTCTATATACTGGTCAATCAATGAATGAGTGACAAATGTTCGAAATTAAGCATTCATTCCGTTGTGGTTAAGGGTAGCGTAGCGTTATAATTGTCCGTATATTTCATACCCTGTGCCAGGACCGAGGAATTATTCCGGGTATTAAAGTGGACAAAGGAACCGTTTTTTTGCCCGGGACACCGGAAGAATATACTACTCAAGGTCTGGACGGTTTGAGTGATCGTTGTGCACAGTACAAAAAAGATGGATGCCATTTTGCCAAGTGGCGCTGTGTGCTCAAAATTTCCGAACGCACGCCGAGCTATTTGGCCATGAAGGAAAATGCAAATGTCTTGGCTAGATATGCGGTAATTTGTCAACAGGTAAGTTTCTCTCAAACCGGTTATAAACATTCATTGACGGATTGAAAATTTTTCATTTAGATCTCACCATAGTGCGCACAATAAACTGACGGATATCGTTTTAACTCAGCGGAAAACACAAGTCTCAGGAATCAAAAGAAAGCGTTTCCCGATTAGTCAGGTGCCTTTGATGCATTTCGCAAGTTTATTTTCATGAAGCACTAAATGCCAGATTCCTAAGCGACAGACTAAACCATAAAAATCAAAGTTTTGAGCAACGGATAATAAATGACTCTTCTGTTAGAGTAGATCATTGATAGAGTTGGAAGTGTCTGGAGAAATTCAAACAGCGTGTCAAACTTGAAACTCTATGCGTTTAATCGATTTTTGGTTAGTTTCTCTTCTAGACCAAAAGCCTCACAAAGCTAGATAAGATAATCTCGCGTTGTAATGAAAACGCGCAACCCTGAGTGATTTAGAAGAACAGGTTTGACAATTGGGTACGGGGTGCATAAAAACTGAAACAGTCATTAATGACAACCGAAGATACATGACAGAGTTGTGTGTGAGTGATGCAAGGGCAGTCAAAACTATCTACATAGAAGGGATTCTTTCGACTTAGTTCATTTGTTCTTTACTCCTAGTAACCGAGGGAGTGAGCTTGCGAACAACACCGGGAGACCTATTGTGATATATGGTCACGGATATTGACACCCATAGGAAAGTGGACTATACAAATGTTTACAGTAGAGTGTTTCACAATCAACCGATTAACATATGAACTGCTTTATCCACCTGGGGTGACTTTTGAAAGCCAAACTCGAAGACACTTGTTTGATTCCTCCGTTCAGAAAAGGGAATTTTGGATGCAACTCCTGATGAATCAATAATCATGAGGTAATTCACCAGTTCTAGTGAAACTTAGAATACTAATTAATTGATAAACTCGGATGGACACTACCTTTCTGTTTAATCTTTGTTACCAATGGTGACGATGTACACCCATCGAGCTAGTTACAGCTTCAAACTGCCCATGTTATAGTGTAAGTTCCTTACGCTCCCACTACGTAAGCCCTTTTTAAAGATAATTGATCCCCCCTCGAGGAGGGGACCTGCTCAGTCTACTATAAGTTAAAGAATAGAGCCACCAGTTATCTAATAAGCTTTGGTCTGTAGTCTTTGAATAGAGCTGGAAAGGGGCCGTGGGAGACCAGCGCTTTGTGACGTCCCAAGGTTTGAGTAGACTTTTCCGCCTCAGAATGTGGGTTTATTGAGACAAACCATGGGACGCCGCCGTGACATCCGACTGTCCCTTAAGGGAAGGGTCTACGTCTCCGCGGTTCGTAGTTTTCTGCTTTACAGTTGCAAGATCTGGTCCCTTCGAGCGGAAGATACTAATCGACTTTCTGTATTCGATCACCGATGTCCCCGAAGCATTATCCTTGTCTGGTGGGAATGTCGCATAGGCAATGATGTAATTCATCGTCCTGTGGTGGGTCTGGATAGTCATTCTCTAAAAGAATTAATCGCTCTACACCGCCTCCAATGGCTTGGTCACGTGTACCGTATGCCTGTCGATCGTTTACCTTTCTGTGTTCTCTTTGCACGTGCCGGGCAAGACAGGAAGAAGCGCCGCGGCATTCAGACCATGATATGGCTTAGAGGTATGAATTAGCTAGTTTCAGCTTTGGCTTCGTTTGGTGCAGCCCGCTTTCCATGTTGGGGCACAAGGGACGAGGATTGTCGTTGGTTAGAGACGCCCAGAGATAAGGCTCAGAATAGAAGTCAGTGGCGCGAATGCTGTACGGTCTGCCTGCCCAAATGCCGTGCCCCGTAAAAAATACGACAAACTAACAGAAAAAACATTCAAAAGTTTAGGGTGAACCAAAAAGAGATTTGTTGTTACTCCCGTTATCTATTGTTATTCATTGTATCTATTTAAACTGTTCACTCTGTTCCGTATCTCAATTCACTGTTATTGTTATTATTGTTGTGGCGTGGGCACTATGCCTTCCCGCAAGCCGGTGATACATCTACGTATATATATATATATATATTTCAAACCGCGATAGCCTAGGCTGGGTCCACCGGATAGCTTTGTTTTCCAATATATTTTGATTCATTCATCATGGTTTTATCACATTTTTATGTCATGGTTACTTTGCTGATTAAATATATAAACAAAAACCCAAATTCCAAACCGCAAGAGGTGCTTGCCATCAGTTAATTACTCAATGCCAGCCACCCTATACTATACGTGCCTTCATAACTAGCACTGTGTGTAACGGGCTATTTCGTCATAAACATTCTAACGTTCGCGGGTAAACATGTGTATGCTAAATAAACCACTAGTGGGGTAACCAGGTAAGTGATACCTAGGTTAGATAATGTACTTTGGGTATTCATAGTTAAGGGCTGGAACAAATGCATGATCCTCACCGTTTAAGAAGATTGGGGCGTTTTACACATGCAATCAGATAGGCTCCTTCGCTGTGTCGTTTCCTGAGACATCCGAGGGGTAGTGAGATTAAAGGCCATCAAAATTAAACCTGACAAGAGAGTATGAAAACTTTGACCGACAGACCTGAACATCAAGGTGCTGTTAGATTTCCCCGATGGAGACCTCGTAATCAGTGGAATGAAGGGTTAGATAAACTGAGTGACATGGTTGAGTGTAGTAAGCGGTGATGCCACAGTGTTTTATAAATCTCTTGGTAAATTCAGTTATTGAGTGTTTTGAACTATCCTTTGGACTTCACCTTCACGCACAATTATCATTTCATCGATTCAACCATACACTAGGAAGCACTAGACTCGAATTTCGCCCTGATTAGAGCTCATCAGTAGTGTATGTCCACCGTCCCGTCCGGGATTTGAACTCCGGATCCATCACATGGGAGACGTGCGCGGACAGAACGTTGGATATTAACTACTGATGAGTGAAACGCGAGTCTAGCGCTTCCGAGTGTATAACTGAATCGATGAACTGCGGATGCGTGAAGGTGAAGTCCGAAGGATAGTCAGTTCAAATCAACCATTGTCAATTGTCTCACACCACTACTAACAAAGAACTGTGAGTTAAATGCGAATGAATTCAGTCAACTGGATTCTGTTTCTTAGTGCTGGGACTGCTTCCGGTTTCATAATTCGTATCTTTACTCTCATCCGAACTGGTAGGGCAGCCACCAAAACCGCCAGACGAAAGTACAAGTTTTATGGTTCCTTGTCCTCAACTAAGCCAGGACTTATTTTTTAAGCCCAAGTTGTGCCTTCGATTCGCATCACCAATGTCTGACTTCAACGCTTGTCTTTACCCCACAGCAACCATTTTATTATTCATTCATCTCTTCTCGCAGAATAGTCGCTGAATTTAACAGAAATTAAATGATTAATAAAACAATAATGTAGTGCTTTCACTTCACTCGTACACTGAATCCGAATGTGACGGTGTTCCTGTTTCAGCTTGATTGTTCAACTTGATGAAAATGAAACAGTTCGGTTGAATTCCTGACCATCAGTTGACAACATTTTATCAATTAGAGCTGACAAAAGCATAGCTTCAGTATTTCATTGGCCATAGGTTTATTAACAAGGGTAATAAAAACTGCACATTTACCATTGAGCATTCATTTAGTACACAGCAGCTTGCTATGTTCGAGACTGTACGTAGTGCACTGAGCAAAGAAAGCTGTTTAACACCAAAATGAAATAATCCATTTTTGTGATTTTTATTTTCAACACAACACCGTCATTTTTTGAATGAAATGAGATAAGTGCAAACATCAAAAAGTGGCTTAAAACTTGATATGGAGCGGTATAGCACAAAAAGTGAAACGAGAGTTTCCCCACATCATTCGGGATTAAGGATGGTCGAAGATGGTGAAAATGGCCCCTTTGGCAAACATCTAAACAAATAAGTTATCGCAAATTGAAAAAAATAATCAAAATAAGCGACATAAATGCTCACTATTGCTTCTTCGAAATTTTGCATGTCATCATCATCTTCGTGAGCTGTCTTCGACTGAGAGAAATTCCACGGAAATGACAGCATTTAGATACGCTTGGGACGACTGGAAAAGATGAGATAAAATGTCATTTACAATTTAACTACTAATGAGTATTAATAATCGATCCGCATCGTTTTGTACTGCATTTGCTCTAATAAGGACAGATGACAACCAAGCGAAATACGACGAGAAAACGTTGCAAACAGCGAGGGAAAGCTTCTACGTTATCGATAGTCTTCTATCCATTACATCCGTTTTGGAATCTGTCAGATTTACGGGACAGCTGAGATCTTAGCTAGCACTAGGCTGATTTCATCTTCACAAGTGGGCGAGCAGCAACAGCGAAATGCCAAGAAATACCAATAAATAAAAAATCTTCTGACTTGGTTCAGATCAGCCAAGCAAACAGAGGACTGCAGAAAACATGGGACCTATTTTGGTGTCTGAAACCCGATTGTTCCATGTGAACTTACCACAATATCCGCCTACTAAGGGAAATATACTCTCCGCGGCGGTTAGCCTCTATGACCCGCTTGGTTTCGTGGCTCCCTTAATGCTGCAACCAAAACGACTGCCGCAACGGCTGTGCTGATACGGCTGTGGATGGGACGAGCTCGCGGACAAGACGACCATATCGGCCTGCGAAACCTGGCAAGGTCACATTAGAGAAATACAGTGTCTAAGTATTCCACGCTGTCTTAAGGGTACTGGGTGCACAATTGGTTATGCAGTTCTGCATATATTCTCGGATGCTTCGGAGAAAGCCAATGGCGCAACGGCGTATCTGCATTGTCAAGATTAAGCGAAATTAGTCCAATGAAAATTTTTTAGGGGTAAATCCATAGTCGCTCCGTTGAAAGACGTTACCATCCTTTGCATGCAGCTACAAGCAACATTGCTACCCGTGAGACTGATGCGATATATAAGGAAGGAACTCAGGTTCGACCCAGGTGTCAATGTTCCAGAGTTCTTGTTGAAAGGAGAGCACCAGTGGCCAATGAATATTGTCCAAGCTCCATCAGTAGACATCGAGGATTTGCAAATTAAGAATCATGTCGT